CGAGATCTGAGCAAAATCAGGGACGATCTGTTATGCTTTGTTGCTTCTGTTTGGTCCGGTGAAGGAGAGGAAGATGAGTAGCCGGGATGTGAGCTTTATCAGGAGCTGTCAACGGAAGTGGAGCAATGGTGAGCTGCCGACGAAGGTGCAGGGAAATCGGGTTGCTTTGTTGCTTCTGTTCAGCGGTGGAGATGACTAGATGAGGCGGTGACTGGTGGTGAGATCTTGACGGAAGTGGTGCAGAGATCAGGTTGCTTTGTCAGAGGTGATGAGGCCGTGATTGGTGTGGTGAGATGCCGGTGGAGTCATGGCACGGAGATGGAGCAGGGATGAAGGAGAGGGATGGCCGGTGGATGATGTGTTTCTCCAACTTTCTAATTCTATTTTTTCCATGTGTTTTTACAAAATGTTACTTTTGATTAGGATCTTTAGATTTAATTTTAGTTTAAATTTAAGATTTTTTAATATAATATCATTAAAAAAAAGTCAAATAAGTAAATTACATAAAAAAAAAAGGTTAATAAAGGCATCAATGATTCTGCCCGGCGGGTGGGACGGGCTGGGCATTTGGAGCGGGTCCAACGAGTCTGGCGGGCTAACACGGGCCGATTTGCAAAACGGGCTAGTGCATGAAACCGGCCCGTTTTTATGTCCGGGTCCGGTTGAACCGGTTCAACCGGCCGAGCCGGGCCGGGTTTTAAAACCATGCTTTAAGTCCTTTAACTTTCAGAATATTCACATTAGGCCCAAAACAATCTTTTCTCACAATCAAGTCCTTAACTTAATGCTAAAATTCCCGAAAATTTGGGATATTACAGTGGTATACAGACTTTCTATTTTACAAGTCTTCAGAAAAAAAAATGATATATCTTAAAAAAAAAAAAAAATGCTTACCAACCAAACTGCAAATATATAAAATGAAAATGGTACATGAACTACAGCTACAGGGCATTAGTTGGCATAAACCTTAATAGAAATCATCTTTAATTTTTAATCCCTCTATATTTGATGTTCATGTTAATTTCTTGATCTCTGCCCCGTTTAACAAAACCAAATGACAGTGATATCCTTGTACTTACTATCAATAAAGTTTCTTTGCCTTTCAAAAAATAAATAAAAATAAATAAATGACAGTGATATAGGGAAACTAAAAAAAAAATGACAACTTGGCCGACAATATTAATTTTTCTTTGGTAGATACAACTCTATTCTTTGGCATGCATGATCTTTGGCCCAGCTTAAGAAAACTTGACGAATAAGTGAAAGACACAGACTGGCGACTGGCATGAAAACTTTGCACTTTTTAAAAGATGCATGAATGAGACATAGAGACTTTAAATTTTACAAGTCTTTAGAAAAAAAAAATGATATATCTTTAAAAAAATGTTTACCAACCAAACTACAAATACATAAAATGAAAGCGGTACATGAACTACAGGACATTAATTCGCTTAAACCTTAGTAGAAATCATCTTTGTACTCCTCTATTATTTGATGTTCATGTTTTTATGATCTCTGCCCAGTTTAACAAAATCAAATGTTGGCAAATTAGTGAAAGGCAGAGACAGTGACATGAAGACCGATTTTTTTTTTTTAATAAATGATGTATGAG